GAAGATACACTTTTGTCATGAAACTGCTGTTAGTAGCAAACAGGCCCATTTACAATTTAGGCAAGTATTGTTATATTAAAAACATTTATTGCTTTTTATTCTTCCATAGGCCTCTGGTGTTTTAAACCACAGCTTCTTGTTGGACATTTTTATTTATGCCACCAAAACACAACACATTTTAACACCCAGCTGTTTATGACAGTATGTTAATGAACTTATGTGACTATTATCAGAAGTAAATAATCCACTTCTTCTGAAACAGTGGGGTTATGACAGATTTCAATTCAGTGAGTTCATAAATTACAGAAGTTAAACAAAGATTAACTTTCTTTTCATGCAATTACCCTTGCAGTTCAGTCACAATTTCAGCTATTCATATCCTTTGCAGAAGCCATAGTTAGCTTAAATTGCTTTAGTACATGGTACCTAACAGCTTGAATAACCTGTAATGCTTTTGGAATGTGAATACAGTTCAAACCCTTCTCTGAAATATTGCTCCTGGAGGCTGAAGTGGTGAGAGGTTGAAGAAATGATCATATGCTTTCAAAGATTTCTTGGAATTTCAGGAAGGAGGAGGGATTAAGAGACAGGTTTTTAAAGGTATTTAGGAGCCTAATGATACAGATAGCCACCTACTGGGATTTTCAGAACTGCCAAAGTGCCTAATCCCTATTGAAATCAATGGCAGTTAAGTGCCTAGATGCTTTTGAAAATCTCACTTGGCTTCTATCTGGCTAGATACCTAGGAATTAGCTCAAGCAGCCCTCAACCAAAATATTAGATCTTGAATGCCAACCAATCTTTGGGAACATTCCAAATCATGTATCATCATTATTTTAACAAGGGACTTCCACAAACCTTTTCCTCCCTAACCTGTAGTAAACCCCGGGTACCAGAGTGCATGCACCTGCTGACGGGAAGGCTGAGGGACTGAAGATTGTTCAAAATTTTTATGAAATGTCCAAAGATTACACAGATTTAGTTTTTGTTAGATTAACAGGGAACTAGATTCCAGACAGACCAGAGCCGGAAATACAACTATAGAGCCTGTCAACTGGAACACCTTGGTACTCAGAAGCCCAATCATGGAAAGTTTTAAGGTGTAAACTCACAATGTAAATTGCACTGAGAAACCAATATGAGGGCAGTGCAGTTTATGAAGCACATATTAAACACATTCTAAGTAACCAGGCAGCGATATTTTGCACTATTAAAGTGTTCAAGCAGTCAACATGTGTGGCCCTATTTCCAGTGGATTGCGTAATCCAGTTTTCTTTTTCTTCACACACACTTTGTATAGGTTTCAGAGTGGTAGCCATGTTAGTCTGTATCAGCAAAAAGAATGAGGAGTGGCACATTAGAGACTAACAAATTTATTGGGCATAAGCTTTTGTGGGCTAGAACCCACTTCATCAGTTGCATGCAGTGGAAAATACAGTAGGAAGATAATGGGGGTTGCCATACCAACTCTAACGAGACTAATCAATGAAGGAGGGCTATTATCAGCAGGAGAAAGAAAAACTTTTGTAGTGATAATCAGGATGGCCCATTTCCAACAGTTGACAAAAAGGTGCAAGTAACAGTAGGGGAAAAATTAGCCTGGGGAAATAGTTTTTAGTTTGTGTAATGACCCATCCACTCCCAGTCTTTATTCCAGCCTAATGTAATGGTGTCCAGTTTGCAAATTAATTCTAGTT